TATTTTTCTCTCTATACTCGGTGATCGATGAAAATTAGTTTCTTCTAATGGTATATATTTGCAGGCAATTGACTTTTGAGTAATTTTTTTTGGCACAACTGTGAGTAAAAGTTAGGTTTATATAGTTTCACGCATATAAATTTTATGAGTTTTTAGTTCAAATTTATGAGACTTTGATTATTAAAGTTGTGTTTTCTCTAAATCTTATTATATTACTTTTGTTTGGTTAATTAAAATTTGTTCATACATGACTTCCAAATTAGTGTTTTAGTTTGAAATGATATGCATCGTATTGTTAATTAAAATGTGTAAGTAACACTTTGTTGGGCATGCATGCAGCTATGCTGAGGGATGCAATTTAAGCACTTAGGGGGTGTTTGGATGGCTGGATAAAGGTGGATACACCATGTTAGATTGAATAAATAAGTTGTGGGCCTCATTTATCCTTGCTTTGGCAATGCATTTTGAGGATGGACATTCGTAGTTTTTCAGCCCCATTATCCCCTCTCATCTGGACAAATATATCCCACCTAAACTTTGGGATTCACTTTCAGCCGATAGGATATATATCTTATTTTACCATTTCACCCCAGTCCAGCACAAAAATTAGGATTTTTTAACCTTTTCTCCCCCTTTTGCACTAGTCTCCGTCGAAGAACGGGCCCAAGATCCCATTGGCAAGGTATGTTTCTCTCTCTCTCTGAGAGAGTACAATGAATTGGATTTTCCAAGAAAACCAAGAATTGACCAAGAAAAGTTGTGGGTTTATAGGATATATACTGTTTGAGTTGTGGGTTTGTAGAATTGACCAAGAATCTAGAAAATTGTTTGAGTTATTTGTACAAATTGCTCATGTAGACAAGGCATGGCCTGAATCAAGTGAACCGTTGCCGTTTTGGACCTAGGTTGGTACCACCATTTTATACACCTTTACCCCAGACTAATAAGATGTTTTCAATTTGGAACGTGTAAAAGTTTGAAGTGTACAATACATAGGTTTTCTTACAATTTCACTTAAATAGTAAAGTGGTAACCAACAATTCCCAAGCCAACCATGACATAAGATTGGATAGGATTCAAGGGTAAAATTGTCAATTACCATCAAACTTATGAGATGTTTTAAAAAAAAGTTATAGTTTATCCATAGCTCCACTACATCATAAATCCCTAACCAACTCTGGGATAGGATTAAGTAATTTATTTTTATCCCACTATTAATCCCGGTTATTGGGATTTCATTGGATTGGTTAAAACTTTAAATTCAATCCAGTCCAGTCCATCCGTGATTTGCCAAACATGCCCTTAGGAATTCAATTGAGCCTAAACAGTCCACGATCATTTTTTTTTTCTTTNAATTAAAATTTGTTCATACATGACTTCCAAATTAGTGTTTTAGTTTGAAATGATATGCATCGTATTGTTAATTAAAATGTGTAAGTAACACTTTGTTGGGCATGCATGCAGCTATGCTGAGGGATGCAATTTAAGCACTTAGGGGGTGTTTGGATGGCTGGATAAAGGTGGATACACCATGTTAGATTGAATAAATAAGTTGTGGGCCTCATTTATCCTTGCTTTGGCAATGCATTTTGAGGATGGACATTCGTAGTTTTTCAGCCCCATTATCCCCTCTCATCTGGACAAATATATCCCACCTAAACTTTGGGATTCACTTTCAGCCGATAGGATATATATCTTATTTTACCATTTCACCCCAGTCCAGCACAAAAATTAGGATTTTTTAACCTTTTCTCCCCCTTTTGCACTAGTCTCCGTCGAAGAACGGGCCCAAGATCCCATTGGCAAGGTATGTTTCTCTCTCTCTCTGAGAGAGTACAATGAATTGGATTTTCCAAGAAAACCAAGAATTGACCAAGAAAAGTTGTGGGTTTATAGGATATATACTGTTTGAGTTGTGGGTTTGTAGAATTGACCAAGAATCTAGAAAATTGTTTGAGTTATTTGTACAAATTGCTCATGTAGACAAGGCATGGCCTGAATCAAGTGAACCGTTGCCGTTTTGGACCTAGGTTGGTACCACCATTTTATACACCTTTACCCCAGACTAATAAGATGTTTTCAATTTGGAACGTGTAAAAGTTTGAAGTGTACAATACATAGGTTTTCTTACAATTTCACTTAAATAGTAAAGTGGTAACCAACAATTCCCAAGCCAACCATGACATAAGATTGGATAGGATTCAAGGGTAAAATTGTCAATTACCATCAAACTTATGAGATGTTTTAAAAAAAAGTTATAGTTTATCCATAGCTCCACTACATCATAAATCCCTAACCAACTCTGGGATAGGATTAAGTAATTTATTTTTATCCCACTATTAATCCCGGTTATTGGGATTTCATTGGATTGGTTAAAACTTTAAATTCAATCCAGTCCAGTCCATCCGTGATTTGCCAAACATGCCCTTAGGAATTCAATTGAGCCTAAACAGTCCACGATCATTTTTTTTTTCTTTTGTGTTGCAAGGTGACTTTAGTTACGGGTTATTACTAGATATAAGTTGAGCCTAATGTGTTCACATTCAATTTATTTATTTATTTATTTTTTAAGTTATAAGGTGTCTTTTAGATAATATAATATTGTTCAAGTTTTAATTTAATTTTTCGTTCGAACAATTACTAGTTTATATAATAAATCAAATAGGATTTTGAATTTTTATCCAATACATTTTCCACCAAATCCATCCCATCCTACCTCATTTCGTCAGCAAGTCCGCTGTAGAGAAGCCACGTGCTGCCACCTCTCATCTTCCCTTCTTTTTTTATCTTCCTTCTTTCACCCATTAGAGGATCTCCAACGCTCTCAACAAATGTCATATTTTAACTATTTTGCTGAGCCAAACCCAAAAATTCCTCTCCAACCGACTCTCTATTTCACTGGCTACTCTGTCTCCACCCATTCTCACTCATCAGTTCTGGCTAGCAAGGCTTTCTCTCATCAAAGCTCTCTTCCCCAATTTTGGGTTGTTCTTCATCTTCATCAAAGCTCGTCTTCACTGTGGTTTCATCATCGTCTTTATCAGAGCTTGTCTTCATCCGGTATGGATCTTTTTCTCTATCTCTGTGTGCTTGATTCAACGGTGAGTATTCAGATTCAAATCGTGAAACCCTAACCCTAAATCTTACTACAGCTCATGAATGAGGCTTCAGGGAGATGAGATTTCTTCAAGGTGGTTGCCCTTCTCTGAAAATGCCAGTGATTTCTCTCTCCTCCAAACCAACAGCCTTGTTTCACTTTGTCTCAAAGTGTTCATATGGTGATGATGATGATGATGATGATGATGACGACGACGATGATCATGCTGAATATATGAGAGGCTGGGATGATATGTTTTTTGAGCAAATGAATCGGGCACTGATTTAATCTGACCCGTATCTTGGCGGGGCAAATTGGGATGGTATGTGGGAGATTTTTCTCATATGTAACTGGATTTGTAGTCATGGCGTGTGCCATCCATTCCCTTGCCTGATCAAATAAAAATCTGAGCCTTGTTCTTTTACTCTTTATTTTTTTGATCCAATAATTTTTTAAAAGTTTTTTTTTTTAATATTTTTAATTATTTAGTAGAAATTTATGTGCTAAATATCATCATACTTGGTTGAATTCTGAAATTTTCACATTTGCGAAATTTATTGAGAAATTAATTTACACAAGTTTTGATTTTTTTGCCATTTTTGAATTATATTATTGAAAATTAGTTGAAGTAGTTAGCTATAACAGTGAATGAGATTGGAGTAATTTTTTAAAAATAAATAATTAAAATAATAAATATAATATTTAAATATATTTTAAATAATTATTTTATTGAGCGTGGTTAGTGATGCTCGTACTCTCTCTGTGTTACGCTCTCGCCAGCGAGGCCACCGTCTACCCAGCGAGATCATCACTGCAACATATACCACCGAGATATCCCCTTTCTCTGTTTCTCTCTCTCACACACTCTCTCTCAAATTCATCCAACACATTTCCCCCCAAATCCATCCCATCCTACCTCATTTCATCGGCAAGCCCACTGTCAGAGAAGCCACATGCTGCCACCTCTCATCTTCCCTTCTTTTTTTGACTTACTTCTTTCATCCATTACCCTCTTCGTGTTACGCTCTCGCCAGCGACTCCACCTTCTGCCCAGCAAGATCACCAGTGCAACATATACCCCCAGATATCCCGTTTCTTTGCTTCTCTCTCTCACACACACTTTCTCTCTCAAATTCGTCCAACACATATTCCCCAAAATCCATCCAATCCTACCTCATTTCATCGGCAAGTCCACTGTCAAAGAAGCCACATGCTGCCATCTCTCATCTTCCCTTCTTTTTTTGTTTTTGTCTTCCTTCTTTCACCCATTACTCTCAGTGTTACTCTCTCGCAACGGCGCCACCATCTGCCCAGCAAGATCACCACTGCAACATATACCCCCTGGATATTCCTCTTCTCTGCTTCTCTCTCAATGAACTCCTGAACCCAGCTCTCCCCCTCTCCCTCCCCTGCCTTTTTTCTCTCTCACACACTCATACTTAACCCCCTAAAAAAACTCCCCTTTTGCGCAGAACAAACCCTCCGCCCAACTCTCCCTCCTCTGCTTTTCTCTCCCTCACACACTCACATGCAACCCCCAAAAAAGCTCCCCTTCTGTGCAGAACAAACCCTCTGCCCAACTCTCCCCAATCTCCCACCTCTGCTTCTCTCTCACACACACGCAACCCACCCCCCAAAACACACACACACACACACACATACACACAAGTATCTTCAAACCTCGTCGTACTACATCTCCGATTCTATGACCTCAACACCCACTATATTGTCTCTCTCAAGGCCAAACCCATAATATCTGGCAGAATCAACCGGGTCGAGGAAGATGAAGAGCCCATTGATGCCGCCATCGCCCGTGCCTGCGTGGCGGAACCCTAGAGGCTATCGTCGATTAATTCATCAAGAATACTCAGGCGAGTGGGAGAAGAGTTCATTGTTAGAGAAAATGGGTTGGTGTGTTTGGGTGGGTTTAGGAATGTGAGGGCAGTGTATGATTGGAATGGGTTGAAATTGGAGCTCGATGAGACTCATTATGAATTTGGGATAAGTTATGAGATAGAATGTGAGAGTTCCGAGCCTGATAGAGGTAAGAAATTGATTGAGGGCTTTTTGAAGGATAATGGGACTGGGTATTCATATTCGGAGGTTTCCAAGTTCGCCGTTTTCCGGTCGGGAAAGTTGCCTCAGTAAGTTATAACGACAAGTTTGTCACTTTTTTGCCAGATTAATTATTTAATAAATCACTTAATTGTTATTTACACTCACTTTTATTGAAATTGAATGATTGTAGCAATTAACGTGATCTTTGAATTTATAATGTGTAATTTGATAGAATATTTTGTGGATTTGTGCTCATTATTTACTGGTTGTGCATAAGAATCAAGTTAGCTAACTGAAAGATCATTTCCTAAGAATTTAAACTAAAGTAAAAATTTCCTTAAGCTCTAGGGAAAAATTTCTGTCTCTTCGGATGTTTTGGTGCCTATTTTGTGTGGATTTTTTGTAGTTTTTTATGATTACACGTATAAAAAATCAGCTTATTTTCTGAGACTTAGATTAATTACTTTGAGGCTTATTGGGTGACTTTTCATTTGGTATAAGATCTTTGAAGCATCCACATACAAAACGCACACTTACACTACACAGGTATTCCCATTACCATGTGCACCTAGAGCAAAATCTGAATGTGTGTGTGGTTCAATTTAGGACTTGAACAGTGGACACTTTATGTATTCTGTCCCATTATCATAAATTTTTTTTTAGCTTTGAAGTAATAGACAAAAAAAAAAAAAGAGTTTGCTTTGGACTCTGATATACTCATTATCAACATTTTGCATACACAAACCTGTTCTTGCATCTGCTTGCATGTTGTTCTTATTCAATTTTTCTCTAATTAATGTTCTCATTTTTAGGTGGTCTGGGAAGCCTTTTGTTTTTACATTATGTTTTTTCTCTCATAGTGTTATATAGCCGATGCTAACTAATTGTTTGTGAATGACGTAGCTGCTTAGTGGTGAGGTTCTCTAATCATTCAATCTCTTTAATTGTGCTCCTTTCACTGAACATAAATTACCAAATTTTATTTCTCTCCGTTTAATGCAACAACTGCCTTCACATTCTAAGGCATTCCGTATTTCTATCAATAAGCCTATGTTCGTTCATTTGCCCCCCCCCCTTATGACTTTTTTGTTGGACTTTTTGCAAATTTAAACTGATTCTTAGTAATTGTGAATCTGGTTGTTCTTTTAAGTGGGCACGTACTTAGAGTTTACATTGAGGAGTTGCAATTATAGTTACCCTTTACTGCAATGAGGGTTTTATAATATAATGGACAATTAATAGGTAAAAAAACTGGATTGCTTCGTGGGGCTTAATCTTATAATTCCTCTTGGCTTTGTGTTAGGGGTTGCTGGGCAAATATTTTAAAGATATTTATGGAGATATTCATCGCAAACCCAGCCAATATAGTCTTATTCCCTATTGAATTTGTTTACTGTTTTCATGGAAATGTTTATATTTCAAGTTACACTTGATTTTCTTTGTGTTTTATCAGATTTGGTTCCCTCTGTTTGGAATCATGAAACATAAGTCTCTAAAGAACTATTAAATCTGTTTACAGGAGGGCATGAAATAAATTGGAATACACTATGCTATATCAAAAATATAAAGTTTGAAATTATTACCTTAATTAATTTGCTGTCAAGCGTTTGTGAAAATGCCGATACCAATTGCTTTCCATGTTGGTCCTTTTGTAGAATAATTGATTGTGTCGAGTAAGTTGACTATAATTGAAGGAGGAGGTATTTATTATGAATCACAAGGGAGGAGTTATTTATGCATTGCTCCACATTTTTTATCTTAATAGTTTGGTTGCTGAGGAGTTAATAGAATGAAGAATAAATTAAAGTGGGAACCTTTAGTCTCTTTTCATGTGTAATTTTGTATACATGACCAGTGATTAAGGCATGATTTATCCTAGTGGTAGTGTTGTGTGGATGGTTGTGGGGTTATTTTTTATGGTGGTGGGCTACAAAGGGTTGGAAGTGCTATTTTGATTTTTTTTCATATTTTTTGTTAATTTGCTAGAGTTACTAATTTGAACTCGGTTTTGTAAGTAGGTTTGATTTGATGAGAATTTTGTTTCTTACGATTAGTTTCTAAATGATTAAAAGCATAATGACTTCAACTAATCTTTAATGTTGGCACGATATCATGGTTGTAGTTTCACTTAGTGCAACTGTTGGGTTGGATGATATTTTAGATTGGTGAGAATAGAATGAGTGAAAATTGTATTAGTAGGGTTTATGACACTCTAAGTGAGTTTGTTTGGATTGGAAGAGTTTGTTTGGTATAGTTTATGAGAATCAGTGTGGTTTGCAATGAATGAAATTTTATAACTTTCATGTATGTGCAATAGCTTTAATTATCATGATTTTCATGGTCAATTAGTGCAATTTGTATTTAGCCAATATAAATACTGCTACGTTGTTGTGGTAGTTTGTAACTATTATAATATTTTTGTGGTAGTTGGTAAATAGTGGGGTTTAAACATACATATAACTTGGTTTTGGTTGATTATGAAATTTTTTAGACAAGTTGATATATTTGTAATATCATGTTTTCATGAGATACTTCGTTGAAAATTTTTAAAATTTCCCACACTGATTTCAATTTTTCTCATTAATATGAAGCAAAAGGAGCTTGGTAAATCATGATATTGATATATGTAAAGTGCAGGTGTGTTAAATGAATGCAATTTTGGCTTTCAACTTAGTTTGCATTCGAATTCAGTGCTTGATTATTTTGTGCCCAAATTCAATGTTCGATTTTTTTTTTTTGAATTGCACCGTACTTTCAGGTATGAATTACCCCTAATTATTTTCTAATATGAGTTTTCGCCTTATTACAACTGAGCATCCTATTACCAAATTTCATCGAATTGTGAAAATTCTCAAGCATCTTTCTCTCTGTCCATCTCTGATTTGTAGTGTCTCCCTAATTATTTTTTGTCTGCTATGGAAGGAAGGATGGATGAGAAATTTTGATTGGATGGTTACACCACGTGCCAATACTGACGTGGTGTAATGGTTACACCCAATATTTTTTCGTCCTCCACAAGGTAGTTTAAAGCTTAATGTTGATGGAGTATCCAGGCTTAGCTTCTCTCTTTTATGGTCATTGCACTAATATGGGAGCTGAATTTAAAGCTTTACTGAACGGCCTTAGATTGTATGAAAGAAATGGTTTGGTTGATTATAAACTCTTTATTGAGTCGGACTCTCAAATATTGGTGGAGATGATAAAGGGTAACATTCAAGTTTCTTGGAAATATGGAAAATTATTGTTGGGAAAAATATCGTAGGAATCAAATTTGAATCGATATTAACACTCGTACTCAAGTGGAGAAACAAAAGAACAATTGTAGAAAATAAAACAATTAATGTGGTTGGCTATTGTTTTCGTTCACGACAATGAGGATCAGAATTTTTCACTATAGAGTAAAATAAGAGTATAAGACAGTAATTTCAAATCTCACAAGTACTCGCTTCAACAAAAGATATTTACTATGATAAATTTAAATAATATTATTTTTATGGATAACATGAATTATACATTCCGGAGCACATGTAATAGAGTGGCTCATCAACTTGCTCGGCATGCTCTTTTTATTGAGAACTTTTTTGTATGGGAAAAGATAACACCTGATTTCCTACTTCCTCTCCTCTCTGATATTGATATTTAACAAAATTATATCGTGACTTTAAATTATTTATTTTTGATATTATATCCTCCTCTTTGATATTATAGAATTATTTATTTTTATTTTGTTAAATATATTGATTAGATCGCTTATAATATTATTAAGTTATTGTATACAAAAAATAAATAAATAAAACATGTGTATAATAATTTAAGATGTATAAGACTTTTTTTTTTGTTAAAAACATATATAAGAATTTATTTCTTCATATATATATCGATAATTGTATATAATTATACTACTAATAAATAAGTTCAAAAAAATTTAAAAATTCTTATGAAAGAGTTCAAAACAAGTTGAAATTTAAATAGATTAAAAAATAAAAATTAGATGAAAGTATAAGTGAATATAATTAATTTTATTATAAATAAAATAAAAGATTAAATTTTTTTATAAGTATTGATATTTATAAGTAATATAAATAGAGATTTATAATATAAAATAGGGTAGTTTCAACAAATCAATCTTACGGTCTTAAATTCATTCATCTAATGGTCAAAAAATTATCATTTTTTTCCTTAATATTCTCCCCCCCCAACCGGTCAACAATTTCGACTGATCTTGGAACATATCTTATGGTTTCAAATTCATTTATCCAACGGTTAAGAAATTAACATTTTTTTCCTTAATATTTTTCCTACCAACTAGTTAACGACTACGGTTGATCTAAGAACATGAGTTTTTCTTTGACATAATAATTCTATAATATAAAACAGAACAGTTTTATCAAGTCAATTATACGGTCTCAAATTCATTCCTCTAATGGTCAATAAATTATTATTTTTTTCCTTAATATTCCCCTCAACTGGTCCACAATTACGGCTAATCTTGCAACACATCTTACAGATTTAAATTCATTTATCCAACGATCAAGAAATTAACATTTTTTTTCTTATTATTTTGCCTCCCAATCAGTCAACAATCACGACTGATCTTGAAAAATGAGATTTTCTATGACATAATAGTTAGATTGGTCAAATTTGTCATTAATATCATATGTGTAGTGTAATATTTTGAATTTGTATAAAATACAATAATAATATTTTGATTAAAAAAACTCATCAATTTAATAGATAAAAAAAAGAAGGGTGCTGCTTGACACATTTATATTGAATATAATTAATTTTAATTTTATTTATTTAATTAATTATTTCAAACTAACATGTCTTACACATATCTTAAATAAAAAGTTCAAGACTAAATTATTTTTATCTCTCAAGATAATTCAGCGCTAATATATTCTTATAAATTAATAATTTTGTAATAATTTGTACTAATTAAAAAAATACTATTTTATAAATGATATTTTTAGATTTTTTTTTGATAAAAAATATTTTGGTGATATGCTTTTTGATATATTAATTTTTTTGTTTGTATTAGATTTGACTCAATTTTGATTACATGTATTTAAATTAATATTCAATTTTTA